GTCGAGGGTAAATGGGTGAGGTTTAGGACTCTGACTCATGCAGCTGCAATGGCTGCTTTGGGTACACGGTCCAGACCTCCCCAGAGACCCTGGCTGACAGGAGGTGTTCAGGTTAGTTGAGAAAAAGCGACAGGCCCACTTTCATCGTCTACAGCATCCCACATCAGAGAATGAGGAGGCTTACCGCAGCCTTCGCTCAGAGGATGGAGAGCCGTGAGGCACTGCAAGGATGGGTGGTGGTCGCGGGTTGCTGAGGAGATGGAGTCTGCCTCCGTGGCCTGTGATCACAAATCTCTATTTAACTCCATCAAAAAGTAACCTGCAGCGCCACACCTATTACCATCATTAGGGGAAAAAATGGTTATCCAATCTCCGACTCCCAGGAACAGGTTTGCAGATTTGCTGAGCATTTTTGCGAAGTCCTGGTGGAGGGGAAATCTCTCGACATGGGAAACATCGTGGGACAAAGTGGGGATGACCCTGCTGAGGCTGCGGTGCCCCAAATATTTGAAGAAGTCACCCCCTGTGAGTGGCTGGCTGAGGTGCCATCTGTTGAGGAAGTACTAAAGGCGAGAGTCTGAGACCAGGAAAGGCACCGGGTAGAGATGATCTCCCAAGCGAAATGCTGAGGGAGGGTGGCGTTTGTGCACAGACTGCCCTACATGACATCATAACAACAGTCTGGACCACTGGACGGGTTCCGCAGGATTGGAAGGATGCCCTGGTGGTCCCCCTCTTTAAGAAGGGGGACCGCACAGATTGTAACAACTACAGGGGCATCTCACTCCTCAGTGTGCCGGGAAAGGTCCTGGCAAGGATTATTCAGCATCGCCTTGCCAGGCACGCTGAGGAGAGGCTTGCAGAGCCCCAATGTGGTTTCAGAAAAGGGCGGTCCTGCACGGATGCCATATTTTCTGTCCATCTGCTACAGCAGAGGTGTAGGGAATTCCAACAAGACCTACATCTCTGCTTTATTGACCCAAGTAAAGGCCTATGATACCATTAGTAGGCCTGGGCTCTGGGTTGTTCTTCGTGCATTCGGAGTCCCTGACCCTCTGCTCACGATCATTAAGGACCTTCATGATGGTGAGCGGGCCCGGGTAAAACTACGTGGCCGGGAGTCAGAGCCATTCGCTGTACACCTTGGGGTGCGACAGGGATGTCCTCTGGCTCCCACATTATTTAACATCTATTTTGACCACGTAGTTCGTGAAGCCTTCAATAGCTGTACTGGGGGAATCTCCATATGATACAGATATAATGGGAGGCTGATCGATGCCCGGGTGCGGTCAAGGGATGGCTCCCTGTTGCTCAACCACGTTATGTATGCCGATGATCTGGTCATCGCTGCTCACTCAGAGGACGAGGTGGAGGCGCTGCTGCTGAGACTGGAGCGTGTCACTAAGAGATGGGGCCTTAACATCAGCCCCACCAACAACACGTTCTCCTGCGGAGGGAGGGAGCTGGTACAACGTTGGGTTGCTCGGTCAATGGCCAGTGTCAACAACAACAACGGCACCACCACGTGGTGTGTTCAGCAACAATATTCCCGACTGTGAGGGCCTGGCACAAGCCGACGTGAGTAGGTGAAACGTTGAGTTTTATAAGGGCACCACGGGGTGACCAGCCCCTCCCCCACCCCCACTCAGCCCCACCCCCCACCCAGCCCCTCCCTTCCCCACCCAAGCCCCTCCCTTCCCCACCCAAGCCCCTCCCTCCCCACCCCCCACCCAGCCCCTCCCTCCCCACCTAGCCCCTCCCCACCCTCCCCACCCAGCCCCACCCCCCCCCCATCCAGCCCCATCCCTCCCCACCCAGCCCCTCCCCACCCAAGCCCCTCCCTCCCCACCCCCCACCCAGCCCCTCCCTTCCCCACCCAAGCCCCTCCCTCTCCACCCAGCCCCACCCCTCCCACCCCTCCCACCCACCACCCAGCCCCTCCCCACCCAGCCCCTCCCTCTCCACTCAAGCCCCTCCCTCCCCACCCAAGCCCCTCCCCTCCCACCCCCCACCCAGCCCCACCCTCTCCACCCAAGCCCCTCCCTCCCCACCCAAGCCCCTCCCTCCCAACCCAGCCCCTCCCCTCCCATCTTTGGATGCACGACGGACGGACGGACACAACAATCATCCCCTGTGGGCTGGTGGTGGTGTAGTCACCAGGAGGTTCCTACACAGTACTAAGCACCTGCCTGGGTTGTTTTGTACCATCGGACACTCCACCCTCACAACTCCCAATTGCTGATGGGGCAGTTGTGGAGAGAGTGGAGAGTTTCCCATACCTGGGCAGTGTGCTTATGACTGGCTCCAGTTTAACAGCAGAGGTCTCACTCCGAATCAGTCGAGCGGCAATATCTTTTCATCGGTTGCGTAACGCTGTGTGGAAGCTACCTGGTCTGTCGCTCCGCACGAAGCTTCAGGTCTTCTCGGCCACGGTCATTCCCTCCCTTCTCTACGCTTGCGAAACGTGGACCCCCCTAATGGAACATCTTCGTCGGTTAGAAACATTTAGGCTGTACCCGCCTACGATCCATCATGGGTTTAACCAGACTGGATTGTGTGAGGAGCTCACAAATCCTTGAAAGATCTGGGCAAGGTCCCGTCGGTGAGATCCTCCGGCAGGCAAGGCTGCGATGGCTGGGTCATGTAGCCCGCATGCCCAGCCACCGCATGCCCAAACAGCTTTTGCTCGGCCGGATAGAGGGGGCTAAATGGGCGCGGCACGGGCTAGAGAAGAGATGGAGTGACGTGGTACAGGAGGACGTGGAGCTGAGTGGACTTGCCGATGACTGGTACCAGCGGTGTCAAGATCGGCCTCTGTGGAGGAGGCTCGTGAAGGATGCTACTGGGCAGTTGGAGGCAGTCGCCCTCCAACAACAACGGAGAGTGGAGGAGCGACGCTCACAACAACGAGCGGAGCGCCGGGTGGCTAAAGCACAGCAAGTTGGCACAGTAGGGGGCACAGGTGGTGCATCAGCCAGTCATCTCAGTCATCTCAGTCAGTCGACCCGTGGCACCTGCTGGGTCTGCCCCGTGCCCTACTGCCGGCGGGCGTTCGACACTTCGAGTGATAGCCTCAACGTGCACATAGCCTGGCACAAAGCGCCGTGGTGATGTCACCGCCATGTAGCGGCGAATGGCGGTTGTTGTTGTTGTTGTTGCTACTCGCTACTAGCAGCACTTGCCCCTACAGCCCTGCTAGAGGCTGCCTGGGGGAGCTTTGTCTGTGTGTGTCTAACACTGCACTTGCCCCTACAGCCCTGCTAGAGGCTACCTGGGGGAGCTTTGTCTGTGTGTGTCTAACACTGCACTTGCCCCTACAGCCCTGCTAGAGGCTACCTGGGGGAGCTTTGTCTGTGTGTGTCAAACACTGCACTTGCCCCTACAGCCCTGCTAGAGGCTACCTGGGGGAGCTTTGTCTGTGAGTGTCTAACACTGCACTTGCCCCTACAGCCCCGCTAGAGGCTACCCGGGGGAGCTTTGTCTGTGTGTGTCTATCACTGCACTTGCCCCTACAGCCCTGCTAGAGGCTACCTGGGGGAGCTTTGTCTGTGTGTGTCTAACACAGCACTTGACCCTACTGCCCTGCTAGAGGCTACCTGGGGGAGCTTTGTCTGTGTGTGTCAAACACTGCACTTGCCCCTACGGCCCTGCTAGAGGCTACCTGGGGGAGCTTTGTCTGTGTGTGTCTAACACTGCACTTGCCCCTACAGCCCTGCTAGAGGCTACCCGGGGGAGCTTTGTCTGTGTGTGTCCAACACTGCACTTGCCCCTACAGCGCCGCTAGAGGCTACCTGGGGGGCTTTGTCTGTGTGTGTCTAACACTGCACTTGCCCCTACAGCCCTGCTAGAGGCTACCTGGGGGAGCTTTGTCTGCGTGTCTAACACAGCACTTGGCCCTACAGCCCTGCTAGAGGCTACCTGGGGGAGCTTTGTCTGCGTGTACATCACAGGGGGTGCTGCTACTCGCTACTAGCGGCACTTGCCCCTACAGCCCTGCTAGAGGCTGCCTGGGGGAGCTTTGTCTCTAGCTCTGTCCCCATGGCCCTCAGTGAGGAGGGCCGCCAGGTCCCTGGGCCTACACGAGGTGGCCCCCCACTCGGACCGCTGGGCCCTCTGCTGGACTGACCTCTCCGTGGGCCTTGAGCGGGCCCTCAGCCTGAAGGCCCACCAGGTGATCAGCTCCTGGACACCCCCCTGTGTGGAGAGTGAAACACTCACCCTGTCTCTCTGTAGCCCCTGTGTCTCTCTCCCTGTGTCTCTCTCCCTGTGTCTCTCTAACCCCTGTCTCTGTAGCCCCTGTGTCTCTCTCCCTGTGTGTCTCTACCTGTGTCTCTCTAACCCCTGTCTCTCTCCCTGTGTCTCTCTACCTGTGTCTCTCAATGTCTCTCTCCCTGTGTCTCTCTCCCTGTGTCTCTCTACCTGTGTCTCTCTAACCCCTGTCTCTGTAGCCCCTGTCTCTCTCTCCCTGTGTCTCTCTAACCCCTGTCTCTCTCTCCCTGTCTCTCTCTCTCTGTCTCTCTCTAACCCCTGTCTCTGTAGCCCCTGTGTCTCTCTCTCTCCCTGTCTCTCTCTAACCCCTGTGTCTCTCTCCCTGTGTCTCTCTCCCTGTGTCTCTCTAACCCCTGTCTCTGTAGCCCCTGTGTCTCTCTCCCTGTGTCTCTCTCCCTGTCTCTCTAACCCCTGTCTCTCTCTCCCTGTCTCTCTCTAACCCCTGTCTCTCTCTCTCCCTGTGTCTCTCTCCCTGTGTCTCTCTCCCTGTGTCTCTCTCTCTCCCTGTCTCTGTAGCCCCTGTGTCTCTCTCTCTCCCTGTCTCTGTAGCCCCTGTGTCTCTCTCTCCCTGTCTCTCTCTAACCCCTGTCTCTCTCTAACCCCTGTGTCTCTCTCTCTCCCTGTCTCTCTCTAACCCCTGTCTCTCTCTCCCTGTGTCTCTATCCCTGTGTCTCTCTCCCATGTCTATCTAACCCTGTCTCTCCCTCCCTGTCTCTCTCTCCCTGTCTCTCTCTAACCCCTGTCTCTCTCTAACCCCTGTCTCTCTCTCCCTGTGTCTCTCTCCCTGTGTCTGTCTCCCTGTGTCTCTCTCTCCCTGTGTCTCTCTCCCTGTGTCTCTCTCTCCCTGTCTCTGTAGCCCCTGTCTCTCTCTCTCTCTGTCTCTCTCTAACCCCTGTGTCTCTCTCTCTCTCTGTCTCTCTCTAACCCCTGTCTCTCTCTCCCTGTGTCTCTCTCCCTGTGTCTCTCTCCCTGTGTCTCTCTCTCCCTGTCTCTCTCTAACCCCTGTCTCTCTCTCTCCCTGTCTCTGTAGCCCGTGTGTCTCTCTCTCCCTGTGTCTCTCTCCCTGTGTCTCTCTCTCCCTGTCTCTGTAGCCCCTGTGTCTCTCTCTCCCTGTCTCTGTAGCCCGTGTGTCTCTCTCTCCCTGTGTCTCTCTCTCCCTGTGTCTCTCTCTCCCTGTCTCTCTCTAACCCCTGTCTCTCTCTCCCTGTGTCTCTCTCCCTGTGTCTCTCTCTCCCTGTCTATGTAGCCCCTGTGTCTCTCTCTCCCTGTCTCTCTCTAACCCCTGTCTCTCTCTCTCCCTGTGTCTCTCTCTCCCTGTGTCTCTCTCCCAGTGTCTCTCTCTCCCTGTCTCTGTAGCCCCTGTGTCTCTCTCTCCCTGTCTCTCTCTAACCCCTGTCTCTCTCTCTCCCTGTGTCTCTCTCCCTGTGTCTCTCTCTCCCTGTGTCTCTCTCCCTGTCTCTCTCTCCCTGTCTCTCTAACCCCTGTCTCTCTCTCCCTGTCTCTCTAACCCCTGTCTCTCTCTCCCTGTCTATCTAACCCTGTCTCTCTAACCCCTGTGTCTCTCTCCCTGTCTCTCTAACCCTGTCTCTCTCTCCCTGTGTCTCTCTCTCTGTCTCTTTCTCCCTGTCTCTCTAACCCCTGTCTCTCTCTCCCTGTGTTTCTCTCCCTGTGTCTCTCTCCCCTGTCTATCTAACCCTGTCTCTCTAACCCCGTGTCTCTCTCCCTGTCTCTCTCTCCCTATCTCTCTCCCTGTCTCTCTCTCCCTGTCTCTCTAACCCCTGTCTCTCCCTGTCTCTCTCTCCCTGTCTCTCTCTCCCTGTCTTTCTCTCTCCCTGTCTCTCTCTCCCCGTGTCTCTCTAACCCTGTGTCTCTCTCTCTCTGTCTCTATCTCCCTGTCTCTCTCTCCATGTCTCTCTCCCTGTCTATCTAGCCCCTGTCTCTCTCCCTGTGTCTCTCTCCCTGTCTCTCTAACCCTGTCTCTCTCCTTGTGTCTCTCTCCCTGTCTCTCTAACCCTGTCTCTCTCCCTGTTTCTCTCTCCCTGTCTATCTAGCCCCTGTCTCTCTCTGTCTCTCTCTCCCTGTGTCTCTCTCTCCCTGTGTCTCTCTCCCTGTGTCTCTCTCTCCCTGTGTCTCTCTCTCCCTGTCTCTCTCTCCCTGTCTCTCTCTCCCTGTCTATCTAACCCTGTCTCTACCTGTGTCTCTCTCTGTCTCTCCCCTGTCTCTCTCCCTCCCTCTCTCTCCCTGTGTCTCTCTCTCCCTGTGTCTCTCTCTCCCTGTCTCTCTCTAACCCCTGTCTCTCTCTCCCTGTGTCTCTCTCCCTGTGTCTCTCTCTCCCTGTCTATGTAGCCCCTGTGTCTCTCTCTCCCTGTCTCTCTCTAACCCCTGTCTCTCTCTCTCCCTGTGTCTCTCTCTCCCTGTGTCTCTCTCCCTGTGTCTCTCTCTCCCTGTCTCTGTAGCCCCTGTGTCTCTCTCTCCCTGTCTCTCTCTAACCCCTGTCTCTCTCTCTCCCTGTGTCTCTCTCCCTGTGTCTCTCTCCCTGTGTCTCTCTCTCCCTGTCTCTGTAGCCCCTGTGTCTCTATCTCCCTGTCTCTCTCTAACCCCTGTCTCTCTCTCTCCCTGTGTCTCTCTCCCTGTGTCTCTCTCTCCCTGTGTCTCTCTCCCTGTCTCTCTCTCCCTGTCTCTCTAACCCCTGTCTCTCTCTCCCTGTCTCTCTAACCCCTGTCTCTCTCTCCCTGTCTATCTAACCCTGTCTCTCTAACCCCTGTGTCTCTCTCCCTGTCTCTCTAACCCTGTCTCTCTCTCCCTGTGTCTCTCTCTCTGTCTCTTTCTCCCTGTCTCTCTAACCCCTGTCTCTCTCTCCCTGTGTTTCTCTCCCTGTGTCTCTCTCCCCTGTCTATCTAACCCTGTCTCTCTAACCCCGTGTCTCTCTCCCTGTCTCTCTCTCCCTATCTCTCTCCCTGTCTCTCTCTCCCTGTCTCTCTAACCCCTGTCTCTCCCTGTCTCTCTCTCCCTGTCTCTCTCTCCTTGTCTTTCTCTCTCCCTGTCTCTCTCTCCCCGTGTCTCTCTAACCCTGTGTCTCTCTCTCTCTGTCTCTATCTCCCTGTCTCTCTCTCCATGTCTCTCTCCCTGTCTATCTAGCCCCTGTCTCTCTCCCTGTGTCTCTCTCCCTGTCTCTCTAACCCTGTCTCTCTCCCTGTGTCTCTCTCCCTGTCTCTCTAACCCTGTCTCTCTCCCTGTTTCTCTCTCCCTGTCTATCTAGCCCCTGTCTCTCTCTGTCTCTCTCTCCCTGTGTCTCTCTCTCCCTGTGTCTCTCTCCCTGTCTCTCTCTCCCTGTGTCTCTCTCTCCCTGTGTCTCTCTCTCCCTGTGTCTCTCTCTCCCTGTCTCTCTCTCCCTGTCTCTCTCTCCCTGTCTATCTAACCCTGTCTCTACCTGTGTCTCTCTCTGTCTCTCCCCTGTCTCTCTCCCTCCCTCTCTCTCCCTGTCTCTCTCTCCCTGTCTCTCTAACCCCTGTCTCTCCCTGTCTCTCTCCCTCCCTCTCTCTCCCTGTCTCTCTCTCTCCCTGTGTCTCTCTAACCCTGTATCTCCCTGTGTCTCTCCCTGTCTCTCTAACCCCTGTCTCTCCCTGTGTCTCTCTCTCTGTCTCTCTAACCCTGTCTCTCTCTCTCCCTGTCTCTCTAACCCCTGTCTCTCTCCCTGTCTCTCTAACCCCTGTCTCTCTCTCCCTGTGTATCTCTCTCCCTGTGTCTCTCTAACCCTGTCTCTACCTGTGTCTCTCTCTGTCTCTCCCCTGTCTCTCTAACCCCTGTCTCTCCCTGTGTCTCTCTAACCCCTGTCTCTCCCTGTGTCTCTCTAACCCTGTCTCTCTCTCCCTCTCTCTCCCTGTCTCTCTCTCCCTGTCTCTCTCTCCCTGTCTATCTAACCCTGTCTCTACCTGTGTCTCTCTCTGTCTCTCCCCTGTCTCTCTCCCTCCCTCTCTCTCCCTGTCTCTCTCTCCCTGTCTCTCTAACCCCTGTCTTTCCCTGTCTCTCTCCCTCCCTCTCTCTCCCTGTCTCTCTCTCCCTGTGTCTCTCTAACCCTGTCTCTCCCTGTGTCTCTCCCTGTCTCTCTAACCCCTGTCTCTCCCTGTGTCTCTCTCTCTGTCTCTCTAACCCTGTCTCTCTCTCTCCCTGTCTCTCTAACCCCTGTCTCTCTCCCTGTCTCTCTAACCCCTGTCTCTCTCTCCCTGTGTATCTCTCTCCCTGTGTCTCTCTAACCCTGTCTCTACCTGTGTCTCTCTCTGTCTCTCCCCTGTCTCTCTAACCCCTGTCTCTCCCTGTGTCTCTCTAACCCCTGTCTCTCCCTGTGTCTCTCTAACCCTGTCTCTCTCTCCCTCTCTCTCCCTGTCTCTCTAACCCCTGTCTCTCTCTCCCTGTGTCTCTCTCTCCCTGTGTCTCTCTAACCCTGTCTCTCCCTGTGTCTCTCTAACCCCTGTCTCTCTAACCCTGTCTCTCCCTGTGTCTCTCTCTCCCTGTGTCTCTCTCCCTGTCTCTCTCTCCCTGTCTCTGTAACCCCTGTCTCTCCCTGTCTCTCTCCCTCCCTCTCTCTCCCTGTGTCTCTCTCTCCCTGTGTCTCTCTAACCCTGTCTCTCCCTGTCTCTCTCTCCCTGTCTCTCCCTGTGTCTCTCTCTCCCCTGTCTCTCTAACCCCTGTCTCTCCATGTCTCTCTCTCCCTGTCTCTCTAACCCCTGTCTCTCCCTGTCTCTCTCCCTCCCTTTCTTTCCCTGTCTCTCTCTCTCCCTGTGTCTCTCTAACCCTGTCTCTCCCTGTCTCTCTCTCCCTGTCTCTCCCTGTGTCTCTCTCTCCCCTGTCTCTCTAACCCCTGTCCCTCCCTGTGTCTCTCTCTCCCCTGTCTCTCCCTCCCTCTCTCTCCCTGTCTCTCTCTCTCCCTGTGTCTCTCTCCCTGTCTCTCTCACCCCTGTCTCTCTCTCCCCTGTGTCTCTAACCCCTGTCTCTCTAACCCCTGTCTCTCTCCCCTGTCTCTCTAACCCCTGTCTCTCTCTCCCCTGTCTCTCTAACCCCTGTCTCTCTCTCCCCTGTGTCTCTCTAACCCCTCTCTCTCTCTCCCTGTGTCTCTCTCTCCCCTGTCTCTCTAACCCCTGTGTCTCTCTCCCTGTCTCTCTAACCCCTGTGTCTCTCTCCCCTGTCTCTCTAACCCCTGTCTCTCTCTCCCCTGTGTCTCTCTAACCCCTGTCTCTCTCTCTCTCCCTGTGTCTCTCTCTAACCCCTGTCTCTCTCCCCTGTCTCTCTCTAACCCCTGTCTCTCTCTCTCTCCCTGTGTCTCTCTCTAACCCCTGTCTCTCTAACCACTGTCTCTCTCTCTCTAACCCCTGTCTCTCTAACCCCTGTCTAGACGGTGAACCACTTTCCCGGCATGCTGGAGCTCTGCAGGAAAGATTGCCTGGCCAGGAACATGCAGCGGATGAGCCGACTGTTTCCCAGCCTCTACTCGGACAGCGTACCTCGCACCTGGTGCCTGCCACACGAGTACGCGGTGGCAAACCCGATGAGCCGTGAAGCTCTTTGCACTCACACACACACACACACGCGCGCAGCACTTGCCCCTGCAGCCCTGCTAGAGGCTACCTGGGGGGGAGCTTTGTCTGTGTGTGTCTAACGCTGCACTTGCCCCTACAGCCCTGCTAGAGGTTACCTGGGGGAGCTTTGTGTGTGTGTGTCTGTGTCTCTGTGTGTGTCTCTGTGTGTGTCTCTGTGTCTCTGTGTCTGTGTGTGTGTGTGTCTGTGTGTGTGTGTCTCTGTGTGTGTCTCTGTGTGTGTCTCTGTGTCTCTGTCTGTGTGTGTCTCTGTGTGTGTGTCTCTGTGTGTGTCTCTGTGTCTCTGTGTGTGTCTCTGTGTGTGTGTGTGTCTCTGTGTGTGTGTCTGTGTGTGTGTCTCTGTGTGTGTGTCTCTGTGTGTGTGTCTGTGTCTCTGTGTCTCTCTGTGTGTGTCTCTGTGTGTGTGTCTCTGTGTGTGTCTCTGTGTGTGTGTCTCTGTGTGTGTGTCTCTGTGTCTCTGTGTGTGTCTCTGTGTGTGTGTGTCTGTGTCTCTGTGTGTGTCTCTGTGTGTGTCTCTGTGTGTGTGTGCGTATCTGTGTGTGTGTCTCTGTGTGTGTCTCTGTGTGTGTGTCTCTGTGTGTGTGTGTCTGTGTGTGTGTGTGTGTCTGTGTGTGTGTGTGTGTGTCTCTGTGTGTGTGTGTCTCTGTATAGTGCGGCAAAAACAACCCCCTACCTCCCCGTGGTGCCGGACGGGCAACGTTATCGTGGACAATGCCGTGGGGGGAGGACAAATTCCGATTGGCCTTTCCCCTCAGGGCGTTTGTGACCACCACAGCGGCTAAATGGGGGCTCTGGACGGGTGCGAGGGGCTGGTAACCCCTCCACCTTCAATTCATTACCACTAAACCACGTGACAGGCGTCTATGACGTCTCCTGGCCAAACCCCATCAGGCGGAGCCAGGAGATTGAATCTTTACCCTCGGGGCTCCTCCAGAAACAACGAAAAGCCACTTCGTGTGGCCACGTGGAATGTTCGAACGCTCACTGCGGAGGAGAGGTCTGCCACTCCTCTGTCGGGAGCTGGACCGGTACCGCCTGGATCTCTGTGGCATTCAGGAGGTCCGGTGGACCGGCTCTGGCTCCTGCCACCATGAGGGGTGGACAGTCCTCTACTCGGGGCAGGAGACTGCCAAACAACAGGGAGTGGCTCTTCTTCTGAACAAAAGAATGAAGGGGGCGTGGGAGCATGGCGGTGAGGTGTGGGAAGCTGTAAGCCCCAGGCTACTTTGGGCTTGCCTTCCCATCAACCGGAGGCGAGGAGTGGTGGTCGTGGTTACTTATGCCCCCACCGAAGACGAACATCCGTGGAGGGATGCAGGCAAAGCCGATGATTCAGATGCCTGCTATGACCTCCTGTCATAGGTGCTGGCTAAAGTGGCCCATCGGAATAGAATCATCTTGTTGGGTGACTTCAATGCCCGAGTTGGTCATGATGCTGGCACCTGGTCTGGAGTGATTGGAAGACATGGGCCAGATCAGCTCAATAACAATGGTAGGAGGCTGCTAGATTTTTGTGCAGCCCATGGGCTTGTAATTGCCAACACGCTGTTCCGGCATCGACGCATCCACACAACATCGTGGATGCATGCCGGGCCCAAGCAAGAACATCTGCTGGACTACATAGTGACGGACCAGTGGATGCGGGCCCATGTCCTTGACACCAGGACCTACCGTGGAGCTGATCTGCCCTCTGACCATCGACTTGTCATCTGTAAGATGCGCCTGCCATTCTTCCACTCCAGTGGTGGGTGTACACCCAGGACCCCATTCTAACCTAAGGTGGCCTGGTCTCAGTTATCTGATGAAAGTTGCAAGCGAGAATTTCATCATCGCTTGCGGCTGGGGTTGGCATCGTCCCCCACTCCTCCTGATGTCGAGGGTAAATGGGCGAGGTTTAGGACTCTGACTCATGCAGCTGCAATGGCTGCTTTGGGTACATGGCCCAGACCTCCCCAGAGACCCTGGCTGACAGAGGAGGTGTTCAGGATGGTTGAGAAAAAGCGACAGGCCCACTCTCATCAGCTACAGAATCCACATCAGAGAATGAGGAGGCTTACCGTAGCCTTCGATCGGAGGTTCGGAGAGCCGTGAGGCGCTGCAAGGATGGGTGGTGGTCGTGGGTTGTTGAGGAGATGGAGTCTGCCTCAGTGACCCGCGATCACAAATCTCTATTTAACTCCATCAAAAAGTAACCTGCAGTGCCACACCTATTACCATCATTAGGGTAAAAATGGTGATCCAATCTCCGACCCCCAGGAACAGGTTTGCAGATTTGCTGAGCATTTCTGTGAGGTCCTGGGGGAGGGAAAATCCCTCAGCCAGGAAAACATCGTGGCACAAAGGTGGGATGACCCTGCTGAGGCTGCAGTGCCTCAAATATTGGAAGAAGTCACCCCCTGTGAGTGGCTGGCTGAGGTGTCATCTGTTGAGGAAGTACTGAAGGCGATCCGGAGTCTGAGATCAGGAAAGGCACCGGGTAGAGATGGTCTCCCAAGTGAAATGCTGAGGGAGGGTGGCGTTTGTGCACAGACTGCCCTATATGACATCATAACAACAGTCTGGACCACTGGATGGGTTCCGCAGGATTGAGAGGATGCCCTGGTGGTCCCCCTCTTTAAGAAGGGGGACCGCACAGACTGTAACAACTACAGGGGCATCTCACTCCTCAGTGTGCCGGGAAAGGTCCTGGCAAGGATTATTCAACATCACCTTGCCAGGCACGCTGAGGAGAGGCTTGCGGAGCCCCAATGCTGTTTCAGGAAAGGGCGGTCCTGCACAGATGCCATATTTTCTGTCGTCTGCTACAGCAGAGGTGTAGGGAATTCCAACAAGACCTACATCTCTGCTTTATTGACCTGGTCAAGGCCTATGATACCATCAGTAGGCCTGTGCCCTGGGTTGTTCTTCGTGCTTTTGGAGTCCCGGATCCTCTGCTCACAATCATTAAGGACCTTCATGACGGTGAGCGGGCCCGGGTAAAACTACGTGGCCGGGAGTCAGAGCCATTCCCTGTACACCTTGGGGTGCGACAGGGATGTCCTCTGGTTCCCACATTATTTAACATCTATTTTGACCACGTAGTTCGTGAAGCCTTCCATAGCTGTACCGGAGGAATCTCCATTTGGTACAGATATAATGGGAGGCTAATCGATGCCCGGGTGCGATCAAGGGATGGCTCCATATTGGTCAACCACGTTATGTATGCCGATGATTTGGTAATAGCTGCTCATGCAGAGGAGTTAGAGATGCTGCTTCTGAGACTGGAGCGTGCCACTAAGAGATGGGACCTTACCATCAGCCCCACAAAAACTAAGCACCTGCCTGGGTATTTTGTACCATCAGACACTCCAACCCCACAACTCCCAATCGGTGATGGGGCACTTGTGGAGAGAGTGGAGAGTTTCCCATACCTGGGAAGTGTGCTTATGACCGGCTCCAGTTTAACAGCAGAGGTCTCACTCCGAATCAGTCGAGCGGCAATATCTTTTCATCGGTTGCGTAATGCTGTGTGGAAGCTACCTGGTCTGTTGCTCCGCACTAAGCTTCAGGTCTTCTCGGCCACGGTCATTCCCTCCCTTCTCTACGCTTGCGAAACGTGGACCCCCCTAATGGAACATCTTCGCCGGTTAGAAGCATTTAGGCTAGCCTGCCTACGATCCATCCTGGGTTTAACCAGGCTGGATTTGGTGAGGAGCTCACAAATCTTTGAAAAATCTGGGCAAGGTCCCATCGGTGAGCTCCTCCAGAAGGCAAGGCTGCGATGGCTGGGTCATGTAGCCCGCATGCCCAGCCACCGCATGCCGAAACAGCTTTTGTTCGTCCGGATTGAGGGGGCTAAACGGGCGCGGCACGGGCTAGAGAAGAGATGGAGTGACGTGGTACAGGAGGACGTGGAGCTGAGTGGACTTGCCGATGACCGGTACCAGCGGTGTCAAGATCGGCCTCTGTAGAGGAGGCTCGTGAAGGACGCTACTGGGCAGTTGGAGGCAGTCGCCCTCCAACAACAACGGAGGGCGGAGGAGCGACGCTCAGAACAACGAGCGGAGCGCCGGGTGGCTAAAGCACAGCAGGTTGGCACAGTAGGGGGCACAGGTGGTGCATCAGCCAGTCATCTCAGTCAGTCGACCCGTGGCACTTGGGTCTGCCCCGTGACTTCCTGCCAGCGGGCGTTCGACACTTCATGTGGCCTCAAGGTGCACATAGCCTGGCACAAGCGTCGTGGTGACGTCACCGCCACTTAGTGGCGAATGGCAGTTGTTGTTGTCTCTGTGTGTGTATCTGTGTGTGTGTGTCGGTAGGGGAGCGATAGTGTAGCGGTTAGCGCGCTGCGCTATGAACCTGGCGACCCGGGTTCGATTCCCGCTCACAGCCAACACCAGTGACGATTATCTGAACCGGTCCCGGGCCTCCCCTAGGTCGACTCAGCCTCAAATGAGTACCTGGTGCGGTGTGTAAACATTGCCACTAGGGAGACAAAGGCGGTCGGGCGTGGTGCTGGCCACCCACCCCCTCGTGTACCGTTCCGGCCTTCATAGGTGCTCGCTAACAGCACTTGCCCCTACAGTCTGTTAAGGCTATACGGGGGATCTTTGTTTTTGTCTTTGTTGTGTGTGTGTCTGTGAGTGTCTGTGTGTCGGTAGTCTTCATACGCGCTGCTGCTCGCTAACTGCACTTGCCCCTACCGCCTGTTACAGGCTACACGGGGGAGCTTTGTCTTTGTCCAGCAGAGGCACTCCCTCCTCCCTCTCTCTGTCTTCCTGTGGTGAGATGTTGACTACCTCGCCTGGTCTACAGGAGGTCCTGGGTTCGATCCCAGACTCGGACGATGCCTGCTGCTGCTGTATAGTTATGTATGGCTAGGAGATGTTGACTACCTCGCCTGGTATACAGGAGGTCGTGGGTCCCTGACGAGAGATGTTGACTACCTCGCCTGGTCCACAGGAGGTCGTGGGTTCTATCCCGACCCTGACAATGCCTGCTACTGCTGTATATTTGTGTGTGGCTAGGAGATGTTGACTACCTCGCCTGGTATACAGGAGGTCGTGGGTCCCTGACGAGAGATGTTGACTACCTCGCCTGGTCTACAGGAGGTCGTGGGTCCTGACTAGAGATGTTGACTACCTCGCCTGGTCTACAGGAG